GGGGGTACTTACGCATTTTCCCCCAAAAATAAAACTAATTAACTAGTATATATTTGCTTATACACGTAATTTTCCCCTTAATTTATTACTCTTTTTTTTTGCTTGAAATAGAGTCAAGAAAATTTTAAAAAATTGAATGTTATGAATTTGAATTTAAAATATATGAATATATCAAAATGTCTTTTAATTTTATGGTTTAGAACTTTTTATGTGAAAAGTTAAAATTATAAAATTGTCAAAAGAATAAGAAATATTCTTTTTAAATGAACTAACAAGAATATTAAAGCAAATAAATTAAAATGAAAGGAATATAAGTTATAATAAATAGAAATTGAAGACAATTAAAAAGTATTTGCAAAGCTTTAGCAAAAACACAAATTTTACCCTTAAAACAGTACTCCCTCAGTTCTAATTTTGATATTTTCTTTTATTCTTTTATGATATTTTTTAAATTTCAATATTTTACCTGGCATGTTTAAGATTATAAAAATTAATTTATTCTAATTTAAAATAACATGATTTAAAAACCCTTCGTGTTTACTTAAATTTCATCCCTAGTCGCACTAAAATATTTACATTGAAACAAGTTAGGGATTAATTATACTCCATTAGTTTATTTTTATTTGTTATTGTTTGATTTGACACATTCATTAATTGATGTGTACTATTAACTTTTGGAGAATAGTATTAATGTTGAGGGTAAAATATAATTATTAAAAATGAGGAAAAATTTTATCATTAATGAGGTATGCCATTGTAATAGTTGTATGAGGGATTTTTTTTAATAGAAAAAGGTACATTTTGTAGGTCTCATGTCTTTTCAACCTCTCCCTTTCTCTTCTCACTCCTCCACCCCACCTTCTGTTTACCCCACTCTTTAATATGAAGTACTTGATATTATTATTTTTTAATTTAGTATATTTTATTACATAAATTTAAAATAATACAATAACAAGATCAAAGAAAAAAAATAGTACTATATTAAAATTAGCATGTCATTATTTCTTAAAATTAATATTTATTTTCCTTACCTTTTTTTATAGTTCATATTACTCATTTGTCGAAAATCAAATAGAGATAAATATATTGATACTAATTTAAATTTGAAGTCAAATAATTACGTACTTAAAAAAGTTAAA